TTAAAATAATTTTAAAGGGGGAACTTATTAGATGGGTTTATAGGATATGGTCTAGGTAGTCTAGCAGTAGCTGTCTCACACTGGAGAGGCCAAGAATTCAGTAGTCGCTCAGTCTACAAGGCTTGATGTTTCTGCAATCCCAATCTGATGGTGAAGGTCTAGAGGATTCTTGGAGAGTTACTGGTCTTTAGTCTATATTGAAAGCTCAAGGAAGCTGGTTCTAGTATTGGCAAAGGAATGCAGCAGTGGCAGCAACAGGACAGACAAACTTGCCAACAAGAGTGCAGGAAAGCAGACAAAAAGTTTCTTTCTGTCTCCTTTTTTATCTGGGCTGCCACTGGAAGGTACTACCTACATTTAGGGTGGGTCGTCCTACGTCAAATAATCTGATCAAGGAAATCCCTCAGAGGGCTGGAGAGATGGTTCAGTGGTTAAGAGTACTGGCTGCTCTTTCAGAAGACCTGAATTCAGTTCCCAGAACCCACATGGTGGCTAGTAGCCACCTATAACTCCAGTTCCATTTCCAGGGGATCTGATGCCCTCTTCTGACTTCTGGGCATTTCAGAACACAGGTACACTTATATACATGCAGGCAATATACTCATGTATGTAAAATAAAAGCAATACCTTTTTGGGGGGAGTGGTTTTTTTTTTTTTTTTTTTTGGTCTTTTTGAGACAGGGTCTCCCTGTAGCCCCATCTGTCCTGGAACCACTATGTGAACCAGGCTGGCCTTGAACTCACAGAGATCTGCCTGCCTCTGCCTCACGAGAGCTGGGATTAAAGGCGTGCACCACCACGCCCAGCAAGCAATACCTTTTATAAAAAATATGGCGCGCGCTGGGCGCCAGGTGTGGGGTGCGCGGGTATCTGCTCCTGCGCTGCTTCCCTGCGTCTTCCGTGGCGCTCTGCTGCTGGGGGCTTTGCCCAGCCGGGTCCTGCCCTGATTTCACCCATGTACTTTCCTCAATATGCGAGTTCCACGGGCTGCTGGACCACGCGGGAAAGTACAGGGCGGCTGAAGCTGGGTGTCCGTGAGTCGATGACGGAGGAATGCTGCCCCCCAGGGAGACTAGATTGCAGGCAGGAGACACAGACTCAGTCCAGTCAGATTCAGTGGTACAGCTCTTTATTCAGTGTCCCAGCTCTAGTTCCTAGCTCCAGCTCCTTTCCGCTTCTAGCTCCAAATTATTGAGAGAAGACTAGGATATTTTATACTGTAGGGGCAGTGGTAAAAGCTTTAGCTGATAGGTATTTTGGGGATGTCTCATTTGCGTGTGGAAATGGGCCCCCGCCAGGCTGCCAAACTGCTTGAAAATCACACAGGAAAGCATGGCATTTCCAGAGCCAGAGGCCATGTTTATGTGGCTGCTACTTCACAAAGGAGTCAGGAAAAATGCCGGGAAGACACCCTGTTGTGAAAGGAGTCTCTGCATATGGCTCCGAGCTCGTGAGCTATCCGGACATGGAGAAACTTCTACTTTACACAACAAAGGCCCCCAACAAAAAAAGAAAGAAAATCCCTCACAGAGTGTCTAGCAAGCTTGCCTTGTCATTGATTCCAGATCCAGTCAAGTTGACAACGAAGAGTAACCATCATCTCCATGGGGTCCTAAGCTTGCTCTACCCTGCCTCTCCTGATCTACATATTCCTTTCCTCTGTGGAGAAAATAACGAAGGCCATGCTTTCCCTTACTTCTGACAAGTCCTGGTACTTTCCCTGTGGCCCTGTGGGACCACTCCCTCTTATTCTTTTTGTTTGAGACAGGGTCTCACTAAGTAGCTATGGCTGGCCTGGAACTCAGTATGTAGACCAGGCTAGCTTCCAACTCAACAGAGATCCTCCTGCCTCTGCCTCCTAAGTGCTGGGATTAAAGGTGTGGGCTACCTCACCCAGCCAGACCTTCTCTTCTTGGGAACCATGAGTACTAAACTATTTAATTGGAGCACAGTCCTGGTAGAGGCTAGGAGACTGGAGGAGTCCCTTACCTGGAGTCAGTATAAGTGCCTCACAAGACTAAAATTTCATAGAATGATGGTAAGGAAGGTGTTACAATCACCAGGAAGTAGCCTGGTCAAGGTCTGGCAGGTGAGGTAGTGGGTCAATATTTTGAGATCACGAGAATTAAAACTGGAAATTGCAAGTAGCAATAAAGACACATCCTGACCCCAGGCCCAGTGATACAGTGGTTATGTAAGGAAATTTGCAGGGCTTCTAGTGAACCCCAGTTTCCATTAAAATAAGCAGAGAAGAAACTGAAGATGGAGAGGTTGTGCAGAAATGAATCTCAGAAGAGTATAAGTTGGTTGAGATAGAAAACAAAGGTTGTATCCCATGGGTTTTCCCTGCCAATAAACTATCCCGCTGGAAAAAAACCAAAAACACAAAGGTTGTAGCTGCTTAGGAGGCCTGGAATAAAGTCCACTCAAGTCTCTTTCAATGTCCAACAATAACTGTCTCTTCCTCCTTACTAAAACAGTTCCCTCTTCTGTCAATTTGGCATCCAGAGGCCACTGTTGTCTTTCCTTTTCCAACTGGCACTTCAAACTCCTTATTCAGAAGGTTTTCCATTTGTACAGTCTTGACAAGAAAGTGGCTGTCAGATCCTTCTCCTGGAACATGGGAATCCTGAGCAGGAGGCTCCTGGAGCCTCAGGACTCCTTCTTCCTAGACTCAGTGCCCTCTCCTTTCCTTGAAGAGAAACAGATTAAGTTCTGGGTCATGCCCCCAATTCTGACACAGTTAACCATTCAGTTCTTCACAAACAAAGGTTATAAATTTTTTTTTTAGCTCTTTGATTCTCCCAGACTCAAGGGGTGTCAGGGGCTCCTGGGTCCTTGCATGTCATGACTCTTCCCCCAAAATACTTGTATCTAGACATCTTCTCCAGTGGAAAATGCTGCCCTTTTTGTCAGCTGTTCTGGTAACTGTCACCCCCCCCTTCATTACTCCTATATTTAACCAGTCAGTGGGACCTCTGGGGCATCTCTGGGCCACCTGTCACCCTGTCCTGATAAACACAAGGTCACCCTGCCAGTGTTGCATCCCCTGGGTACAGATGTTCCTCGATTTCTGAAAGGGTTACATGATGATAAATCCATCACAAAGTGAAAAGTAGAAAATACAATAAATTGAAAATGCATTTATTGGGGCTGGAGAGATGGCTCAGCAGTTAAGAGTACTGACTGCTCTTGCAGAGGACCCGGGTTCAATTCCCAGCACCCACATGGTGGCTACAAACCATCCCTAACCCCCGTTCCAGGGGAATCTGAAGCCCTCTTCTGACCTCCGTGGCATTGCACGACATGGGTGCACTCACATGCATGCATGCAGGCAATACACTCATACACTTAAAAAAATATTTTAAAAAATAGTAATTTCTGGGCGTGGTGGCTTT